CCCTCTCAGTGTCCATACTTTAGTTCAGTCAACGCAAACACCACAGAGGAAGCAAGACACCGCTGCTATTCCTAAAAAGACCAGTAGGCTAATTTAGAATAGGAGAAAAAGACGCTCCAAGGCTCAGTCGACACAGTTCAACGTCCAGAAACTGCATAAGGATGACTATTTTGCCTGCTCATTACCAGTCAAAATCAGCGACCGTGCTTTCGAATGGAGCTTCTGTAGTACATGTATACATTGTCACTGCGACACCACAGTACCTAAAGATTACTACGGATTCATGCTGAGTCACCCCTGCCCATGGTTCTGGTATATTTGCCCTCGGTATGGAGTATCTGAGGCATTGGCAAAGACACAGGTCCCACCCAAAATCAGCCCTAAAGTCCAAACGACCGAACCAAAGCGCCTGGAACTAAACCAGTAAAACAAGTGACCAAAGCTACCACAACCCTGCCTAACACACACCGACAAAACTCCCGGTTGTTGTTAACCCCCTAGTATCTGTTAGCAATAAAAAAACAGTGGGTGAACGTGAATAAGAGAAATAGCAACACCCCAACTCATAAGCGGCTACCACCCAAGAACAGGGACGACAGATTAAATTCACTTATATTATTTAATGTCTCAGTATCGGAAGGAAGCTTGCTAGAAGGTAGGGCTGCCTTTGACAAAGAGCAGTGGGATAAACACTGCGCAACCCTCCGAATGTGCAACGTTCCAGCCAAAATATGCCACCTTTTCAAGGGCCACAATGTCTCGAAAGGAAAACCCCCTCCAATGAGGGTAACTATTGACTCGGCACGACTTGCTGAAGACATCGCCCTTTCATCCCAAAGACCATCGGTCAAATTGTCCTCGCCAATTCGCATCAGGCATGACAAGCCGTGGTCAGTACAAGCGTCAGTGAGGACCACGCCAGGCACCAGGTTGCCTCGCCCGTCACACCTCACGTCCATCAAGTCAACCAGGAAGACCTGACTGAAGCACTTCAAGCTTGGTACATTTCGAGGAACGATCTGTCTAGCCACATCAGGCGTTGCGAAAACCGACCTAGATTTGTGAGACAACAGATGGGAGGCCACAATGAACACACAAAACCGACAGTTTACCTCGGTCAACAACACCTGGCACAGGACACGATTGAACTCATTGCACAGGTAAAAAACCTGCAGAGGACAGTTCCCGCAGAACTGGCCAATCAGGTTTGAATAACTTGTTTGAAATTCCGACAACGGCAGCTGCTGCAGAAGTGCACAAGGTGCTGAGACAAACCATCAAGTGCCTCTATAGCAACGTAAGAGGGCTGAGAGGTAAGTTGTTAGAAATCAGGAATATGTGCTCGCAGATGGATCTGAAGATCATAATCCTAACTGAAACATGGCTTTCCCCTGACATTGCAGACGCATAAGTGAGCTTGCCATGCATGACACTCTTCCGAAGCGATAGCGTACACCAAATTGTAGGCGGAGTGGCTATATATATAAACAGCCACTTAAAAGCCGAGCGGCTATACCACACCCAACTAACTGAGGTGACAGAATCATGCTGTTGTTGTTTCCACACAAATGGCACGAAATACTTGATGTGAGGGATTTACCGAACTCCCTCGGTTACTAAGGTCCAGAAAAGCAAACTGACTGAGGTAATACTGCAAATGCCACTACTGTGGTTTGATCAAATACTCTCAGCTGGAGATTTCAATAGTTCATCTCTAAATCTCAGCAATCAGAGTATAACTCCCACTGGTTGGTTCCAAAGACAACTTGGTAAAGCCATTAGAATCTCTGGGTTGACTGAGCACGTATGCAGTGCCACTAGATGGACTAAAGAGGGAAAGTCCTCAAACCTGGATTATCTGTTAACAAATGATCAGCTCCTGGTTGAGGATGTTCACGCGCATACACCAATAGGTAGTAGTGACCATGGTACATTCTTGTTTAACATGATCATAAACGAAACACTCACACAGGACGATAACGAGCCCTATCTTTTCTACGATAGGGCAAATTATACGCGTGTGAGAGAGGTCCTCCTATAGACCTCATGGCCACGGGATTGGTAGAGGCTGACAGTAGATGACCACTGGCAAACAGTGAGAGATATCATCCGAAATGCTGTCATGGACAATGTACCTCGGTCACGCCACACACCCGGGAATAGAAGAACCTGGGTTAGGCGCGGCACTGAACGCTTGCTACAGGCGAAGCAGAAGGTCCGCATGAAGGATTCCGTTCGCAGTTCTTACTTGGCAATACCAAAGTTCGGTGCGATAGGAGACAATTTCAGATGAAGCTTTCTGCCAAAATAGAGGCAAACCAGAAGCATTTGTTCAGGTTCATGTCCAAAAGGTTGTGTTCCCTCAAAGGATCAAACGAGGAAGACGTTACCAACCTAGAGATGCCCTAGATCTTCAACACCAACGTTTCTGATCAGTTAAACCGGGCGCACAGAAGTTCAGAGTACTACGTCAACCCATTGCCAGCCTACGGCTTAGGGAACATCCGTATCACTTTTGACTTAGTACTAAGGAAACTAAAACCCTTACGCCCAGGTAAGTCACCAGGTTGTAACAAAAATCGCCCCATAGTCTTGCAGCAATGTGCAGAAGTTTTCTGTTCGCCGATATGTAACCTGTTCAGGCATTCACTGGAGTCACACCAATTTCCGGGTGAATGGAAACAAGCTACTTTCTCTCCAATCTTCAAAGGAGGAGATAGAAAGGACCCAGCCTGTTACATACCAGTCGTATTACTACCAATATTATCAAAGGTTATGGAAGGACTAGTGGACGAACAAATGAGGTAGTACATGGATAAGAATAAAGTACTCCATGAAGCTCAACACAGGTTTCCGAAAGACAGGTGGTGTGCGTCTAATCTTCTCATCGCATGGGACAGTTGGACATCCTGTTTGGACTGTAAAATACCGATGCACGTAATATTTCTCGACTTTGCAAAAGTCTTTGACACCGTACCCAATGTAGAATCCATTTTGAAGGCTTCGTTTTTGGGAAAATCCCTCCATGTATATATTTATGTTATGATCTTGCTTCTCTCTGTTCAATATTTTAGTACTCTATTTAGTCCCAATTTGGGGATGTTAATATTTGTATTTAGTTATAATTCCTATTCTTTGTACTTTTATTGGATTTTATGTTTTCTTCTAAACTGTAAATGTGTTGTTTAAATTGAGACATAATATGTCTTCACCCATATCGAATTTGATACCTCTGCGGTAACTTCGTATACTTGACTGGAAGGATGCATTCTTCCAGAATTGGAAACTGATTTTGTTGATTTCGGATCAGAACAGTACAATACTGTTTAGGTAATTGTCTATATTCCTTTTTGAATAATAACAGAACCGTTCTTACCCAGAAAACGTGTGTTTTGAAATTGAACTGGGCAAGGCGCGTTTCTGACTTCTAACTGTTTCCGAAATTTACGTTCACAGAAGTAAATTTTCTAAACCCCACGCGCTTCTAATCGAAAAGGTTGTGGAAATGAGCTTCACCAACCCACTCGTATCTAGGCTCAGAAACTACCTTGAGAATAGAAAGTTTCGTACCTAGGTAAATAGAGTGCAAGCGAGCTAGCGAGTATCCACATCAGGAGTTTCACACGGGACCATCTTAGGCCCATTTCTGTTTCCGGTATTTACTAACGACCTGTTAGATACAGTTAGCTCTCCAGCATTGGTCTACGCAGATAATGCGAAGATCTGGAGGTCCATTAGAGGCGAAGAGGATTCGACTGAGCTTCAAAACGACCTTACATCTCTTGTGGAATGGGCAGTAAAAGCGGTTAAATACTCAACAAACTAAAGTTCCAGGTCATGCACATTCTGCCTTACACGACGCAAACGATCTACACCCTCAATGGAAGTCCCCTCCCTAATGTCTCCTAAGAGCGCGATCTCGGTTTTATAACCACATAAAGACTCCACGCGAGTCCGAACCATGTAGGGGACGCAGCCAAAGCAAAGACAAGGTGAAGACAACTTGGTGCTATCACCCCGCAATTATTCTTGACCCTATTTAAGACATATGCGCGCTCACACCTGGAGTTTCACAACGTCATCGCAACCCATCTGCTTAAAAGAGACATAAATCTCATGGATCGAGTGCAGAGACGAGCAACGAAATGAGTGATAGAGTTGGAAAATAAACCTTACGACGATAGACTCCAGCTTTTGGGATTATTTCCACCGAGTTACAGGAGAACCAGAGGTGATCTGATTATGGCGTACAACATGTCAAGCACGCCAAACCATCCCAACATGAGCATCTTACCGATGCATCACCACCACTCCCCTCGACGCAATCCTCGAAAGACTGCACATCAAAGAGCGAATAATTAGGTTTGTGCACACTTTTTATCACTGAGAGTCGTCGCAACTCGGAGTGCTCTCCCAGCCTAGGTGACCACAGCCCCCTCAGTAGACTGCTTTAAGAAGAGATTTGATAATTACGTGCTCACATACGGACTATCATCTCCCTCTTGGACAAGCTGTTCATGATGCCCATCTTGAGACCTGCTAGTTGGTATCATTGCCATCTCCTCAGATCATTCACTTCATCTATCTTGCCTCTCATCTCTGTTCCCTCCCCCTTGCTTACACTTCGGTCCTCTCTGACAATCTTCACTACCGATTAATAAACCAAATTATCCATTTATATACTTAGTTCTGAAATCCTATTGGCATTAGACTTTTCTGCTTACCGAAAGGACAAGAATCGGGCGCAGAGAAATCAATTGGCTTATATTAGCTCGTGAAAAAGATATTGGATATTGGATCCCTACCGCTGCGAGTACCTTCCAATGTTCCTCAGCCCACCCATCAAATCCTCATGCGCTGAAATAATTGGAAAAATAAAACTTACTATTTGAACAGTTTGAAAGACTCATAGTTGTTTGTTATCAGACTATTCTAGAAATTCGCTGGTTCGGATTAATTCTCATCTACATTGGATATTGGAATTTGTTTTAGGCTTCCAAATGAAGTAGATGTCCATTACGCGCCACGACTTATGCTGCTTTTCTGGATGTGAGTCTCTTTGCATAAGTGGTTGTTAAAAACAGTAAATATTGATGAAAAACCATGGGCTAAACTATCCTAGGCTGTCACCGTGTAGCACTATGTGCAGGAGCTATCTGATACCGTTCGAACGTCTTTTGCTAGTGAATAGTACTGTCGAGATTGGGAAATTGAACCTTAATTCATTCTTTGAAAGCCAGACTTGATGACCGTAAATTATGAAAGCTATTAAAGTACATAACTCTATAGCTTCATTCTCATATGTCATTACTCTTTAAGACTTTACCACTGGTTGGAATAGCACGAAGATTTATATTTGTCGTACTCTAATTAAAATAATTCTCACTACTATTGTTTCGCATTATAACTTAATAGCATCCTTATATGATGCAATTTTCTTTTTTTACACGCGCTCAGGGATTTCATCTTGCCTCGTGATTCTTACAATACAGTCAGTTAGTGATTTCATGGAACTTAAGCATCTCTATGCTTCGGGACTGATAACCTTGGTATCACGTGTCTATCATTTGCAAAGTTTGAGATGAAATTAGAGTTTGTGCCAGTCAAATAAGTCATTTTTTCGTTTAGGATAGCTCTTAACCATCTAATACGATGAACCGGTCAGTGAATTATCATCTGTTCCTACTTGTTTGGTATCAAATGTCTGTTCTCGGTTCTCTAAATCACGCTTTGGCGTAAATTCAGCGTTCGCATACCTATCAAAATGACTGTACAATGCAGCACTTCGCTGTCTAACATTGATTTTGATATATAATCCACTGAGGGGGGTCACTCAACCATGGGTTATACTTGTTTTACAGACTCCGACTTAAAGTTTTGCATTTATTGATACAGGCTAGATCATTATTCATTAAGTCCATGGACTCATGCCACTTGGTGTGATTATCTCTAACATTTTCCAGCTTAATTCTATACCATTCAGCATTATATGTCGAGGTAGGTGGTTAGGCCCATGTGACACATGTTGACCATCTACATATAAACTTACCGTCTAATTAATAGATTGACCATTTTCGCAGATCCGGTTTTGGGTTGACTACTACGTGGTTGCTGAAGTCGATGTAAATAAGGTTGAACCCGAATACTTAGTTCAACGGAGGCAACTAGGCGGATCTTAATACGTTTAAAATATGACATGCTAGTGCGAAATCATCACTTGTCCATAATAATATAAGATAATTATAATCTTTCGTAATGACACAATGACTACAAGTTCGTATTTCTGGTGATTTCTGACTACCTCAGAGTGAGAAAATATCATCACAAAGTATAATTATTTTATTGTTGGTAACTCCACATAATGCTCAAATTCTTTGAAAATATCAAGTCCAACCTTGGTCCTGATGCCTACACTACTTTCTCACTCATAAGGTTGGAGCTAAATACTCTCTATCGCCTCATGAGCATATGAAAGTATCTGTTGTTAAAAACTAGATAATTTTCTTATTTCCCGTGTCTCCAATATCATGAGGTAACATTCATCCCAAAGTTTTATGTTCCTTCCAAACTATATTTCGTGTAGTCAGTTTCTCACTAGTACTGATACTAATGCTTCCTTTTACTTGTTTTCTGCCTGGTTGGTTTTCCCTCGTCCTGATGCTAAGTATGACAAGCAGACAATCAATATGTTATGTTTTCAGGAGATTCACTGGTTGACTTACAATATGCTGATGATATAATTCTTCTCGGTGAAAACGCTGACAAAAATGCAGTCTTTTGACTACCCTAAGCAACAATGCAAGCATGTTCAGGATGCGGTTTTACCCCTCCAAATGCAAAATGTTGCTTCAAGATTGGCTTGTATGGGTATCTGAATTAGTGATAGGGAGTGAAGCAGTTGAGCATGTTGCCCGCTTCACTTATCTCGGGAGTTTCACCAGTGTCGATGGCCTTGTGACTGACGAAATCTCAGCTTGGATACCGAAGGCTCGATTGGCTTTTGCCAACCTGCGTCACTTATGGTGTAGGCGAGATATCCGTTTACTGATTAAAGGACGAGTTTACTGCACAGTAGTTCTCTCCGTCCTACTTTGTGGCTGTAAAAAATGACCGGTAACAGTCGAAGGTATTCGTCAGTTGCTGGTCTTCGATCATCGATGTCTCTGAAGCATTGCTCGAGTATCCTGCGGCAACCGAGTAAGTAATGCTGTCGTTAGGAAACGGGTGCTAGGTAAGGATGGCAGATCAATAGATGAGGCATTGGTACTTCAATTGGGGAGGTTGCAATGTGTTACGAATGCCCAACCACCGACTGCCTTGTCGAGCTTTGTCCTATGGTGCCGGAGTAGGTCGGAAAAAAGCTACGGGCGGCCAACTCGAAATATGTCACAAATCTATGAAGTCACTGACAAGTGGACTGAGTCCTGTTGGTAGATGTAGGGTACCTGGTTGGGGTCCGCGAGACGAAAGTCACTGATGGTTAGACCTTAAACGACAGATCAAAATCACTTGTAATGGCGCAGGTGCATTCATTATGTTCTCTCAAATTTTAACCTCCTGAATTCCTCAACATCTTTATCTTTCTCTTCCTATAATTATCTCACTGAATTATACTTATCAAATCATGTCTTCGAACTCTAATCTCTCCGATTACTGCTAATACTTCTACTATCTCTACCATATGGGATGTGAACTGACAGATGTTTCTCTATGCTGATGGGATATCAAAACCTGAACTTATGTTTTCATGTACGAATTTCTACATTGTAATTGACTGACTGAATGACATGGCTCGAAACCGTTTGTTGTGGCGCAGGTGCATTCATTTTCACTGTGTTCTCTCAAATTCTAACCTTCTGAATTCCTCATCACCTTTTTCATTCTCTTTTGAAGTTTGATTCGCAAGATTCTACTTCTTGAATAATGTCTTCGAACCCTAATCTCTCCGATTACTGCTAATACTTTTACTAACTCTACTATTGTAGGATATGAATTGACAATTACATCTATATGGTAATGTGGTATGGCAACTTTAACTGATGTACTTACGTACGAAGTTCTATGTTGTTGTAGAATAATTGATTGATCTTAGTTGTTTTATTCGAGATTTGCTTTGTCTTTCATTTATCAGAATCAATCTTAACACAACAATGACCAAACGAAGTTGCATAATACCTACTGATTGATAGTTGTCTTCTACTTGCCTAAAATGGATGCGATGGGATATTAGGCTAAATTAAAGTTATTAAATGTCTTATTGTGTGTTTTATTTAGCCAAGTGCCCCTCAGATATCTTGTTACAACGACCATCCTCTAGATTATCTAGGTGTGATTTTCTAGTATATTTTCTTGAACATACTTAGGCCGAAGAATGAGTTAAAACTACGTCAGTTATTTTACTATTTTATTTCTCATGGAATAGACATTCGTGCAAAGAGGTACATAAATATTTACGCGCCACACTGTTGAATTTGTGACTGAACTGGAATGCTAACCGAAAGCCTAAACCAAAACACGTGGTTTTCTCGGGGGCCACAATCCGAGCCTTTGACTCAAAGATCTAATCCACAAGGCAGTGGGGCAGCGTAAGATAAATCCCATAGGAACTAGTGACATACAGTAGGTTCATGTGCCATTCGTTCCGTCAGGATCCTGAAGCCTCTGTGGATCACTGGTTTATTATCTGGGTTGTCCAACTCATTTGGACGAATCTTGTTTCCATGCACTCCAACCCGGTTAAAGCAACAAACACTCGCTTTTCGTCTTCCTAATTTCGTAAACAACAGATGTATCATGTGCAGGCAATGAGTAAGAATTCCTTATAGCAGAGACAGATACAACGCAGAACTTCGTACGTAAGTACACCGGTCCAGGTTGCCATACAACATCTGTACAGAGCCGCAACTGTCAGTTCAAATCCAAGAGTGATAGCGATAATAGAATTATTAGCAGCAATGGAGATTAGGAAGCGAAAATATGATTCGAGAAGTATAATTCAGTAAGATAAATTTAGAAGGAGAAAGAGATTATGAGGAATTCAGGTTAGTCAGTCAGTCAGTCAGTTGCAACGTAGAACATCGTACGTATGTACATAAGTTCATGTTGCCACACCACATTACCACAGAGACGCAAATGTCAAATCAAATCTCATAGTGATAAAGATAGTAGAGGTATTAATCGTAATGAAGAAGACTAGAGTTCGAAGATATTATTCAAGATGTATAATTCAGTGAGATAAAGTTAGAAAGACAAAGGTAGAGGTGCTGACGAATCCAGAAGATTAGGATTTGAGAGAGCTCAAGGAGTGGATGCACCTGCGCTATTGCAAACGATTATGAGCCATGTCATTCAATGTCTCTAACCATTGGTGACTTTCGTCTCGCGGACCCCAACCAGATAGCCTACATCTACCAACATGACTCAGTCCACTTATTAGTGACTTGATGGATTTGTGCTGTTTTCGTTCGGCCGCTCCTAGCTTTCTTCCAACCTACTCGTACACCACAAAATATGGCTCATCGCGGCAGTCGGTGGTTAGGCATACGTAACACATGTCCCAACCACCTCAACTGATGAAGCTGTACTACTTCATCTACTCATTTGCCATCCCTACCTAGAACTCGTTTCCTAACGACAGCATTGCTTACTCGGTTGTCCCAGGATACACGAGCAATGCTTCGGAGACACCAATGACAGAAGACTAGTAACTTACGAAAGTCCTCTACTCTTAACGGCTATGGTTTACCTTACTAGCAGATATCACTGCTGTTTCCACAGCCCTTTTGATATCATTCCAAGTTGCTTCCAGATGGGAGCGGGGTTTCAGGAGACCAGGAATGACGTTTCGTGAACTCGCATCGTTGCCTAACTCTCTTTCTAGTTGCTCCTGAAATATATTCTTAGCTTTATTATCACTAAGTAGAACCCTAAGATGCTTCCTTACGGTGTCTTTCCTACGTCCAGTAAGCCTCAAACAAATACGCGCTCGCACTAGGGCATGATCTGGGAGCGTCACCGCAGAGCCCAACAGACAACTGCTTGAGGCCGGTCACGAACGGCCTTTTGATGAAGGGTTTTTTCAGTATTAGCTCCGCTCTTGAAAGCCCTTATTGGGCACCCTTACCGCCGGAGACGGAAATCCGTGAGTTAGGGGGAGTGTGACATTTTTAGGGTCGACCTTTTCTAACCCTTCCTTTTGAGAAGGCAGCATCGCTCCAGATGCTGGTTGTCCGAGGGAAACACCTTACTGCTGTCACACCCCTCTGCAGTCAGCAGTACGACTTCGCCCTCAGACCTTGGGTAGCTGCTTTTAGTCTCATCGTTCTCCAATCGACCAGCCTGGCATGGTAGGACCTGCAGGAACATATGTTCCAGCCAGTATAGCTCGGTTGGGTCATCACGATAGGCAAGCCCGACCACCACGTCAAGGTAGCATCTTCGGTCGTGCTATGCACTTGGTCATATGAGTGCATTTCGAGAGAGCGAACTCTCCACTCTTGATCATATCAGGGTATTTAAGGTCAGTGGTGTACATCACTGTCGAGAAAGATGCTGGCGTATTTCATTAACTGAGTTAAACAGCGTCTGTTTTATGCTGATTTCTCTTACTTCTCTGTCACTATTATTGGCATTTGTGTTCACTTATTATCGATTTTCCATTTGTGTTTACGTTAAGTATAGCAGAAGTTTATGCCAGTTTTATTTCTCATTCGAAAAAAATAGTGGTGTGAGCTACTTATAAGTAGTATATGACGTAAGTGTCAACGTAATGTCTGGCAGCAGAAGATGGGGGAAGATCAAGAAATGAAGAGAGGAAACACAATGGAATTTGTATGAAACGCATGAATAGTAGTGACAATGGATTGATGTTTTGCAACAGGAACAGTCCAGTTCGATATGATGATGAACTGATATTTTGCAAATGAACGACGGTTTACGATATGGTTTTTCCGATTTTACTGAGTAATTCTGTAATTTTCGTTAAAATACAATTCGATTGCCCCACCTGTGTTCTCGTTCACTACAATAGGACTCCTAGTTGAGACATAAGTCAGTTTGTCACTGAAAGTTTTGTCTTTCATGGGAATATATGAGATGAATATCATTTAACCATGTTCAAATAATAACACTCTGCCACAATAGACACACCTAGCTGAATGAATCAATCATTTAAGTCTAAGTTTTTTTTTTATTCATCTACTTTTGTGTTAAATATAAAAATTTTTTTTTATCTTTTTAGCTTCTTCTAGTACAATTACTTGAGAATTGTATACATAGATTTATCTGATTTTCTTTTCTTGTTATTAACATTTTATACAGTTAATTCAATGGATGCTTTAAGAGCAGCAGCTACATTGGATAGTACTGATGGTCAAGTGGCTACTGTTAGTCGTACTAGTTCACCACCTCCTTTGGATTTACTCAGTCCTCCTCCTGTTGTTGCTGAATATTGGTGTCATACACAAGTATATAAATTTATTCATATTATTATCTTACTTTTTTTTTTCAAAAGGTACGTGTTACAAAAATGAAATACGTTTGGACAATAAGCAATTTTAGCTTTTGTCGTGAAGAAATGGGTGAAGTTGTAAAAAGTTCATTTTTTTCTTGTGGACCAAATGATAAATTAAAATGGTTAGTTTTTTTTTTAATAAAGTGTTTTTTTTAATTTTTATTTTATTTTACATTTATTTATGTTACAACATTATTGAAATCATGAATCGAGATCGACTCCTGCACCCCGCAGGATTCGAACCCAGTGTGGTGTGTGCTACTTATGCGGATGATATAAGCTGGTGGGTGTGAAGGAGCTGGTGGTGCTGGGGACGCTGCTGAGAGGTAGGGCGAAAGCCGTATACGACAGCTTGGACGGTGCTGGCGGGGAGACGATCACCGGGCGGCTGATGACGGAGTTCGACGGCCCAGTGGACAGGGAGAGGGCGTTGCAGAGGAGTTCCGGTTGGCGAGGCTGTCGGCTGATGGTGACCCGCTGGTGTTTGCTGTAGAGCTCATCAGATTGTGCGATGCCGAATATCGATGAGGAGTCGGAGGCACAGTTGTTGACGTCGCAGTTTATCGAGTGTGTGCCTGCCGCCTTATCCCAGCAGCTGAGACTAGTAAACGCAACGCGATCTATGGATATCGGTGAACTGGCGAAGGTGACTCGTCAGCTGATGACACGAACAGTAGTTCCGGTCGGGTGCGAAAAGCAGGAGATAAATACTTTCGAGAAGAAGATTGTGGAGTTAGAGCGTGAGATACCAGCATTACGAGTGGATCATAAAAGGAACGATAAATGTTACGCTTGTGGAGAGGCAGGACATTGGAAGATAAACTGTCCAAGAAGACGACGACGAAGATATTTTAAACATTATAACGTGTTTTCTTTCCACCCTAGGAATCGGGAGGTTCTTGCACTAGTAGACAGAGGGGCAATTTATGCCAGAGTGTACATAAATGAACAGGAGTTGCTGTGTTTGATCGATACAGGGGCAGCTATATCGTTAATAGCCAATGTAAGACAATCAAACCATGTACATGAGCTGTCCACACTATAGGAGGGCATATGCTAGGGGTGTTGGGGGTATCTAACAGTATTGTAAAAATGTATGGAGCTGAGATAAATTTTCCGTTCGTGTTAACCACAAGCTTATCGAGACCGATATTAGGAGCAGATTTCCTAAGAGAGAGGTAAAAGCGATAATTGAATTGAGAAGACTGAGGCAGGCGCGGAAGATTGTATTATGCAAATTTACACTCTTAGTCAATTAAAAACGAAAAACATTACATTGAACACTACTCTATTTGCACACCATATTTGAGTCGTGAACTCCAACGCTCCAGCCTTCTTCCATTCCCGTTTTCCTCTTGTGACCGTGAGACTTCTTCTTTCACGTCCCTTCTTATACTACTTATATCGTTCGTATAAGTAGTAGCACACACCACACCAGGACCTTCGGTATTGTACGTGAACGCCGCAAACATTGATCGATTCATGGTTTCAAAAAATGCGTAACATAAATAATCTTCACAACAATTCCGCAATGCAATGCAATACAATTTATTTATTTATGTACATATTTCTTCTTTTTTTCTTCTTCTTTCTAATCTTACTTATCAAGGTGTCTACGAATAAATCCAAAAGGTTTAGATGAAGAAAGCAGAGAATATTTATCATTGTATCTTTTATTGGTTAATTGTGGCACAAAAAGTGAAGCCAGAGCTAAATTTAAATTTTCTATTTTAAATGCAAAACGTGAAGAAACTAAAGCAATGGGTATGTTATGTATGTATCTATTTTTCATCATTTTTTTTAATTCATTAAAAAGAAAGTCAACGTGCTTATAGATTTGTACAAGGCAAAGATTGGGGTTTTAAAAAATTTATACGACGTGATGTTTTAATGGATGAAGCGAATGGTCTTTTGCCGAATGATCGTTTAACTATTTTATGTGAGGTATGAGAATATATATATATATATATATTAATTAGTATTTGCTCATTTTCTTTTTTTTTTATCATTTTGAGTGATACACTTTCTATTTGTCTGCAGAGAGAGTCTTCTGACCACATTGAGCAACAATGCAAGCATATTCGGTGCATGCGGTTTTCCTCCTCGAAATGCAAAATGTTGGTTCAACAGTGGGGTTGCATTGGCACCTGTACTAGTGATAGGCAGTGAAGTAGTCGAAAGTGTAGAGCGCTTCACTTATCTGGGGAGTCTCGTCAGTGCTGATGGCCTGGTGACTGACGAAATCTCAGCTCGAATACAGAAGGCTCGATTGGCTTTTGCTAAGTTACGTCACCTATGGTGCAGGATAGATACCCGTTTGCTGACTAAAGGACGAGTTTACTGTGCAGTAGTTCTCTCCGATTTACTTTATGGCTGTGAAACATGGCCAGTGAAAGTAGAAGATATTCGTAGGTTTTCGATCATAGGTGTCTTCGAAGCATTGCTGGTATATCGTGGGACAACCAAGTGAGCAATGCTGTCGTTAGGAAACGAGTACTAGGTAAGGATGGCAGATCAATAGATGAAGTGTTGAAACTTCATCAGTTGAGGTGGTTGGGACATGTGTTCCGTATGCCGAACCACCGACTGTCTCGACGAGCTATGTTTTGCAGTGTAGGAGTAGATTGGAAGAAAGCTAGAGGCGGCCAAACCAAAATATGGCAGAAATCCATGAAGTCACTGACAAGTGGACTGAGTGATGTTCGTGGATGTAGGCTACCTGTTTAGGGTCCGCGAGACGATAGTCACCGATGGTTAGAGACCATGAATGACATGGCTCCAAATCGTTTGCAATAGTGCATCCACTCTTTGTGTTCTATGAAATACCAAGCTTCGGCATTCCTCATGATCTCTACCTTTCTCCTTCTAAATTTATCTCACTGAATTATACTTCTCGAATCATATCTTCGCTCCCTAATCTTCTCCATTACTGCTAATACTTGTACTATCGTTATCACTGTTGGATTTGAACTGACAGTTGCGTCTCTGGCTGATGTTGTATGGCAACCTGAACTGATGTACTTACGTACGAAGTTCTGCGTTGTATCTGCCTGTCTGTCTGATACTTTCTATTTGTACTGAATTTCACCGGTACACACAACTAATAATCAGAACGTTACACGTTCATGTGGGTTTTCTTTTTCAAATCAATTCATATAAATTAACTCTTCCACGAATAATGGGGGCTCACACTAGAGGGTACATAATTTTGTACTCGTTAATTGACATATTATTTATTCTTGACTTTAATCTTTCTTCGGTCATATTCAAATGTGTACTAATCATACTGACTTGTTCATGGTATCTTAGATTATCGTTTGGGTTCCCTTAGTGTAGGTTAATTAGACTTTGGGTGGCCGTTCAAAACTGATTACTATAAGGGAAATCCACTCACTTTTTTACCTTTTCTACCCTCAAGATTCTAATACTTCCTACCATGGTTACTTAATTTGTCCTTAAAAACGTCAGTCATCAACCAGATCAGTAGACAGTCGTTTCGTTTGTTTCGCGGACGGTGTCAGTGTATCCGATAAGGTGATTGTATCAATAAATATTGATTCTCCTCATAAATGTCCCCCCAACTGTAACAACTTCTTACACTCCTATTATAATGCTGCTACGTATAGCTATGCAGTCCTAATGGCGTCCAAATTCAAATATCCCAATATGACCCAAATGCTACTTTCAAATCTCCTATATATCAGAACGCAACACCGTTGGATGGAGTTGTCTATTGGGTCGAGTACAGAAGAGAAGAAACGGAATCAAAATCATGAAGTCTTACAGATAGTGCGTATTTATACTTTTAGGTCGAATAGGAAAGAGCATCAAAGCCTGTGACATTGACAGTCCGGATGACCAATAAGAGACAACATTGATAGTTAAAACGACCATAATTTTGACCAATAGAAATCGACCTATGGGATAATACTTCCAAAAATAGTACTCTTAGGATATTTGGTGAATATCCTAACAACTCCTATATTCAAAATAACATCAGTATCTAAAAGTATAATCTAGAAATTGATACTTTGCAATCAGTGTTCATTTAAGAATGAGCAGTATGTAACTTCTTGAAGTTGAATGCATTTGTATCAGGTTAAGGTAGTCAGTTGCTACGTAGAAATTACTACGTACGTACGTAAGTACATAAATTCAAGCTGCCAATACCCCACTAGTATACAGAGAGATAAAACTGTCAGTCTGTGAATCTGAGAGTAAAAGAAGAGTCGGTCAAGCAAATAAGAGAGTTATTAGGAGGAGGTTTAGAAAAGATTTGATTGTGATCAATTTGGTCTCGTGTGCTTTTATGTGTATGAGGGTAGATGTCACTTCCCGGTCGCCCACACCGTGGGTTAGGGTTATGGTTGTCAGAAGGGGGCATCGGCCTCATGCCTGACCGTAGCTGCTACCTTGACGTGGTGGTCGGGCTTGACTATCGTGGTGACCCAACCGAGCTATACTGGCTGGAACATATGTTCCTGCAGGTCCTACCGTGCCAGGCAGGTCGATTGGAGAACGATGAGACTAAAAGCAGCTACTCAAGGTTTGGGGGCGAAGTCGTACTGCTGACTGCAGAGGGGTGTGGCAGTAGTAAGGTGTTTCCCTCGGACAACTAGCGTCTGCAACGATGCTGCCTTCTCACAAGGAAGGAAGGGCTTCTAAATTTATCTTACTGAATTATACTTCTCGAATCATATCTTCGCTCGCTAATCTTCTCCATTACTGTTAATACTTCTATTATTGCTATCACTGTTGGATTTGAACTGACGGTTGCGTCTCTGTGCTGATGGGGCATGGCAACCTGAACTGATGTACTTACGTACGAAGTTCTGTTTTGTAACTATCTGTCCGTCTACATCGGCCTCATGACTTACGAAGGAAATCGTCTTTCATTATGTGATGTCATAATTCTTCTAAATGAAGATTTTCTAACTCCCAGAGCAGAGTTTATATAATTTGAATTATTTTTTCTTGTTAGCGGTTTTTTTGGCAAGTTAGTTTTGTCCGTGATTGAGTCACCAACCCCGTACCCAATCCTCCTCCTTTATCCGGGCTTGGGATCTGCAGGTGGAGTTCCCAGTTGAACGAAGGAAAGTAACAATTGTTTTGTACTAATCTTAAGCTGGCTTAATTTACTCACATTATCAAAATGTAAAATATCTCATGTGTAAAACACTTTTTTTTTATATCATTCAAAAATTATTGTTTTGTTTAGGTTTCCGTTGTAGGTGAAATTCTATCAGAAAGTGGACAAGTTAATAATCAACCAATCAGTGTACCCGAGTGTAATTTACATGAAGATATTGGAAGTTTATTATTTAAACAATTATTAACAGATGTTACACTAGTTGTTGTATCGAATAATACTACTAATCATAATACTAGTAATACAACAACTTGTAATAATTTATCAAATGAAAAATGTTCCATGTCACATGTTATAAATCAACATTCATGCACTTCAAGTCATCAACATCAACATCATCATCAGAATAATAATACATTGCCTAATGTTAGTTCTTTGAATGAACAACAAGGAAATAATAAATTTTCCGCATATGAATCAACCGGTGAAGATGATGATGAAGAAGATGATGGTGATGAATTAGATGAAGGTGAAGAATTCGATGATGATGATGATGTAGAGGAGGATGATGTAGAAGATGATGGTGTAGAAGAAGATGGTGAAGATGATGATGGTGGAGATGAAGAGGATGAAGATGAACAACAACAACAAGAGAATGAAAGTGAACGTGATGAAGATACAACGCAGTCTAGTAGTTATAGAGAATCACAATTGACATTTTTAATTGAAGATGGTATTCATTTAGCTCCGAATGGTAGTAGTAGTAGTAATAATAATCATATTAATACAGAACAAGGTGAAGCAGAAGCAACCACAGCAGCAACAGTAGCAGTGGCAAATCATCGAACTCTAGTCACAAGTGATAATCATGCTTCTAGTACTTCATCATCTCATCCATTAACTCATCATCATGTCTTGTCATCGTCAACTTTAACTCCAACGACAACAACATCGAATGTACCAACTAAAGGTGTTATAGTTCCTATAGCTTCTACTAATCCTAGTCCATTACTAGTCCCATGTACTACAGGTAGTGCTGGCGGTGGTGTTGTAGATGTAGCAGCATCCTCTGTGAAACAGTTTTCATTAGATAATCATGTTTCAAATGGTGGTGATTGGCGATCGACCACATCATCATCAACATCAACATCATCGTCAAATTTTGTTACCACTGTTCAAGGCAATACAAATCGTGATGATCGTGAAGTAGTAGTACGATCCAATGGTGTTTGTGATATTGTTGTCAGTCAAAGAACTTCTGATGATAATTGGTCTTCATCAAAAACTACTACTGGTAAGTAAATAAATAATCTTCTTCATTAATGGTCTTCTTATACATAAATATTTAACCTTTTCGTTTGCATATTTTGAACATGATGAATGTAAATTGAAGTGTGGAAATATTTCAATCATTGGTTACAATATGCCCCCCCATCACAGCTGCTTACAATAATTGAGGCTTGCTATTGTTATACTGATTGACAGGAAGAAAACCTGATCTGAATAAAATTATCTTACCTCAAAAACAACTGTGTGACACACAAAGAGAAGGTATGTTTTCTTTCATGTGAGAACACATTCATCATCATATCACACACATGTCAGCAATTGTGTTTCTGTTACGCCTGTGTACGTAAACACGTCAACTTGATACACTTGAACTATTACGAGTTCACCTTGGTCGGAAAACGAGAGCGAGGATCGAGGATCCGGTGACTCGATATGCTATTTAAATCCGATTATCCCAAACCCCATATTTAGTAAAAATAAGGAGATGTGATATGAAGTAGAACATGTATTCTACAAGCATCCAGAAAGTACGAGGTCCGAATCTAGAAGAGAATCAGGATCCCGGACTAGGGATCCGGGATCGAGCCTTGGTCCTGGTCCTGGTCATAAAATGTTACAGATAATGCGTATTTATACGTTTTGGTCGAATAGGAAACAGCATCGAATTCTGTGGCATTGACAGTCCGGATGACCAATAAGAGATAAGATTGAAGTATTTGACTTTGACAGTTAAAACGACTATAATTTTGACCAATAGGTTTCGACCAATAATTCCCTTACGATATTGGATGAATATCCTAACAGTTTCTTAAAGTCGGAACAATTAGGTTTGGTGTGTGTAGCGTTATGTTGTTCTAGAGGAGATTTTAAAACAGGATGGTCACTTTGAACCTCACTGGCATTGTGACAATCCATATACTGAAACTCATGATGGAGACGAACACGGAATATAGAACCACTTCATCTCTTTTTTTGTGAACTATCATTGAAGGCTGATCAAATATAATTGCAGTACAGCCAGCATAAATGGTCCCGACTGTAGCTGGTTTAGAGACCTTGAACGACATGGCTCAAAATCGTTTGCAATGGCTTAGGTGCATCCACTCTTTGTGTTCTCTCAAATTGTAACCTGAATTTCTCATAATCTTTATCTTTCTCTTTTCAAAATTTATCTCACTGAACTATCCTTCTTGAATAAGATCGTCCAACTTTAATTTTCTCCATTACCGCTAATTCTCCTCCTATCTCCATCAGTATGGATTTGAACTGACAGTTTCATCTCTGTGTTAATGTGGCAATGGCCACCTGACGCACGTACGAAGTTCCACATTGTAACTGACTAACTGACAGCATAAATAGTACAAAAGTTTGTCACCATGTTTGTGTTTAGAGATAATAAAGTTCTCGACCTCATCAATGTCACCATTTTTATATACTGACTTCTATGGCCAGGTCGTGTTTTAAGTATATGATCTCACAGTGTAGTGAAGGAGAACACAGGTGAGGGCAACCGAATTGTATTTAACGAAAGTTACTGAGTTACTCAGTAAAATAGGAAAACCATATCGTAAACGGTTAACTTGCAAATCTTCAATCCATCATCAATCCATTGTCTGACATTTCACTATTCATGCGTTTCATACAAATTCCATTGTGTTCCCCCCACTCTTCCTTTCTTGATCTTCCCCCATCTTTTGCTGCCAGACACTACGTTGACACTCGCGTCATATACTACTTATATGTAGCGCGCACCACAACAGGAGCTTAGATAATGTGTTTTATCTGTCAATGCAGATATGTTAATCAAAATGGTCAGTTTGTAACATGATGTATCTTCTGTAAAATCACACTATCCGCGGTTTCTTCTTCACGACTAGCTCGATAGAATCTATCAATCAGTCAATCAATTAATCAAGAGGGAAAACTGATACCCATATATCTCTAACAAATTTCGTTTTGTGCAGCTTATGTCTTAGTGCCAGGTTAAACCAGTCATTTGTGTTCTATGAATATAAATCTTGCCTAATTTTCTTCAATCATTGTGTTGTTACACACTTGGTACGTAAGTACATCAGTTCATGTTGCTATGCCACATCAGCACAGAGAAGTAATCGTCAATTCAAATCCAATAGTAGAAGAGGTAGTAAGGGAATTAGACGTAATCGGAGAGGTTAGGGCTAAAAGATATTATTCAAGAAGTATGATTCAGTGAGAAAAGTTTAGAGAGTCGAAACTAGAGGTGTTGAAGAATCCAGAAGATTAGGATTTAAGAGAGAACACAAAGAATAAATGCACCTGCGGCATTGCAAACGATTTTGAGCCATGTCATTCAAGGTCTCTAACCATCGATTATTATCATCTCGCGGACCCCAACCAGGTAGTCAACAATTACCGACATATTGTTATCATATATCAATACAAACCACAAGATACAAGCAAATTTTTCTTCGCTAATAATAATATCCGCTTATTTTGTTTTTTTTTTTTCTGTAGGCATTCATCGATGTCGGATGTCTGGTCTGGTACCGTCCACATCGTCTGCGCTGCCCACAACTACAGATTCTTTAACATCTTCCACTTCATGTTGCAGTAATAAAGTAAAACAACCTATTGGACATAATAATGCAGATGTCGGGAGTAGTAGTACAACTACAAGTAGTACAACTATTAGTCAAAGTAGTAGTTCTCTTGCTAATACCACTCCATCGAATCCTTTAATTACATCAAAAGAAGAATCGGAAGATACGGAAGAATCAGTTGAAGCGGAGACATCTGGTACATCTAGTCGTGTACGTCGTAATACAACACGTAGGCGAAACACTACATCAACTACCACAACAACAACCTCAACATCAAATCGTTCACGCAATCGAAATGGTCGAGATTCATCCGTTTTAACTACTGTGTCAAAAGCTGCTTCGACTACTTCAAATCATTCCAATCTTGTTGGAACTCCATCAAGTTCTACTACTTGCTCATCGGGTATAACCACTAATCAAACTGTAAAATGTTCCAGTATGGGTTCTAATAATAACAATAACAATAGCAATAACAATAATTCGACAGTGAATGGAACTTCCAATTCAAGTGTTGTACTAAGACAATTTGAAGCACATAAAGCGATTCTAGCTGCTCGTAGTCCAGTATTTGCTGCAATGTTTGGGCATGGTATGGAAGAGTCTAGAGCAAATCGAGTTGAAATTACTGATATGGAGCCGGATACTGTTGCAGAAGTTTTACGATACATTTATACAGGTCAAGTTGTTGGTATGAATCGATTGGCTCATGAGTTATTAGCTGCAGCGGACAAGGTGATTATTATTATTATTATTATTATTATTATTATTATTATTATTATTATTTTGTCTGTATTTAGTCTGTACTTAGTTAAGCTCTTTATAGAACAAAAAATGATCTAGTAAATTCTATTTAAACGTAGGCTAATTGTTGTGAACTTCGCTTGACGTTAATTTCTTAGAATATATGTGTTACACAAGTCAAGAGTAAATCAGATTGTTATGCATGCACACGTATACACGTCAGCTTGATATGCTTGAACTATGACGAGTTCAACCTAGTCGAAAAACGAGAGCGAGGATCCGACGACACGACAGGCTACTCTGATTCGAATGTCCCAACCCCCCACCATTGAGTAAAAGAAGACTTGATATGAAGTAGAACCTGTATTCTACAAGCATCCAGAAAATACGGGGCCCGAGTCCAGAAGAGAATGAGGATCCTGGACCGGGTCCTGGTCCAGGTCATAAGACGTTACAGGTAATGCATATTTATACATTTAGGTCGAATAGGAAACAACATCGAAGTCTGTGACATTGACAGTTAGGACGACCGATAGGAAACAACATTTAAAGTGACATTGATAGTTAGAGCGACCACATATCGAAGTACATGACATTGATAGCTAGGACGACCATAATATTGACCAGTAGGAATGGACCTATAGAATTAGACTTACAAACAATTAATTATCTTAGGATATTGAATGAATATCCTAACACAAATCGAGTTAGCGATATACTTTTTGTCTGTTGATAGAGATCTTTATGAATTGTATCCAGTGTTTTAGTTATGAATTGTTTGCTTGAGTAATCTTAACGGTTGAATATGTTCACCATTATCAAAATGGTGTAGAGAATATCTATTAGTGTAGGAGTAGTTTGGAAGGAAGCTAGAGGTGGCCAAACCAAAATATGGCAGAAATCCATGAAGTCATTGACGAGTGGACTTAGCCATGTCGGTAGTTGTCGACTGCCTGGTTGGGGTCCGCGAGAGACCCTGAATGACATGGCGCCGGTGCATTTATTCTTTGTGTTCTCTTAAATCCTAATCTGTATTCTTCAACCCCTCTAGTTTTGAATTTCTAAACTTTTCTCACTGAATCATACTTCTTGAATAATAATATCTTCTAATCCTAACCTCTCTGATTATTTCTAAAACCTTTACTACCTCTTCTACTATTGGATTTGAATTGACAATTACATCTGTGTGTGCTAATGTGGTATGGCAACATGAACTGATGTACTTACGTACGAAGTTCTACGTTGCATGTGACTGACTGACTGACTGACAGAGAATATCTATTGAAATTTACATGTTGTGGTATTTTAAATAATGTGGTGGAGTTTTGTTCTCTGAGCTGGATTGTTTCGGTGGTGGAGCTTTCATTATTCTTCTGAATAATATCAGTACAATCTGATGGCGAATAGTGGAGAGAAGTGGAGGACTAATGGTTCACCTTTTGATCACCGATGCACACTACAGGATCTACAAATACCAACACAACATGATTGAACAAAAAAAGAAAACTGGACAGAGTACTCACATCAGAATATTTAACAAGATTGACAACGGCGATCCAGATGTCAAGCAGGCGATACAGAGTACAAAGAAAAAGCATCCTCAGTGATAAACTAATCAAGCCACCCACTGAAGAAAACGAAACCAGTTGTGTTGTCAACCTTTCGAAACAACACCGAACGACTACGGAAGAACAACTGCTGGAAAAAGGATTAAACTACTACACGATGGACGCTTCAAGACTCGAGTTCTTCGCTGCACAAGAGTCATCACTCTTAACGACAGGAATAAGTGGAGGAACTCAACAAGAAATAAGGCAAACCATAGTACCATCAACACGACGGAAGAGAGACAACAACCAACTGACAACACAAGAACGAAAAGCCTTAAAGAAACTCAGAACTAGGAAAAATATTATTGTCATAATTCCAATGGACAAATGATGCACTACAATAATTGTGGACAAGAAGGAATATATATCAGGAAAGCCGAGGAAGTATTTGTGGAGAGAAGTGTAAATAAACCAATCGTCACAAATCCGATAAAAAGGTTAGATAGCCAAATCTCAAACAAACATGATCAATGGAGAATGAATTTCACTAAACCCCGTTATCCACACAATTTGTACGATAGGCCGAAACCTTATAAAACCCATCATTTCACTATGTTCAATTGTATCTCTCCCTGGAATCTCGACCTACAACTTATCAAGAGAAATTTCGAAAATATTAAAACATCTAGTGGATTTATCCAATCACTACACTAAATCTCCCACACAATTCTCGACAACAGCGAGTTGATGATATCCTTCAATTGTAACAACCCTATTCACTGCAATAGAACTAAACTTAGCTAAATAAAATATCCTCCCAAAGCATACAAAACTTCAGAGTCAAAATCTACTAGAACTTAGCGATTTATACAACCTATTTTCCCGATCGAACAAAATCTACAACCAAACGAAAGGAACATCATTAGGATCACCAATATATCAGAAATCATCGTAGAATCTATGATACAGAGACTATAAGCATACAACGACAGGTTTCAGGTCAATAACAACCAATCAACGTCGAGGTCAACAGAACAAGCTTACGGGTCAAATGTGAAGAAATTCAAATACTTCACTTCTGTTATTTGAAGTTTATGCTTGTGATGTTGTTTCAGACGAAGAACAATGATGAAAGCTTCACAAGCAAAAAAAACTGCTCAGAAAATCAGAACCACCCACCACCATAGTAATCATCCAGTTGAGCTTCAAATTTTTTATCCACCACCTCAAATTCATAGGCATTTTGAATACAATACTGTTGCTTAACTTAGTTGTTTTGAGAAGACTTGTTTTCATTCGGTATTATTTTTCATTTTTGTCCATAATTTATCTTGTGAACCTCTCGCTGTTTTTCTACTATTGCAAATCAATAGATGCAGTGGTGAAACTTCATCAGTTGAGGTGGTTGGGACATGTGTTACGTATGGCTAATCGCCGACTGCCGCAAAGAGCTATGTTTCGTGGTGGCGGAGTAGGTTGGACGAAAGTTAGTGGCGGCCAGACCAAAACATGGCAGAAATCTATGAATTCACTGACTAGTGGACTGAGTCATGTTGGTAGATGTAGGCTAATTGGTTGAGGTCCGCAAGACGACAGTCACCGATGGTTAGAGACCTTGAACGACATGGCTCAGAATCGTTTGCAATGGCGTATTTGCATCCACTCTTTGTGTTCTCTCAAATTGTAACCTTCTGAATTCCTGATAATCTCTGTCTTTCTTCTAAATTTATCTCACAGAATTATAACTTAATCTTCTCCATTACTGCTAATACTTATACTATTGCTATCACTCTTGAATTTGAACTGACAGTTGCGTCTCTGTGTGCTGATGTGGTATGGCAACCTGAACTGATATACTTATGTACGAAGTACTGCGTTGTATCTATCTATCCATCAATCACTGTAACTCGTACACCTTCCAGTATTGTTGACCATATTGCCCAAAGTGATATAAACTCCAATGTTAGTCGTCAACACCGTAGGTCGTCCTCAAATATTAGAAAAACCTTCTTAATGACAAGTATATCGATTAGCATAATGTTAAAGAGTTTTTTTATTTTAAAAATTTATCCTCTGCCCTTTTTATTTTAACAGTTGACTTGTCATTATTTTCATGTTTTTTTTTAAAAAAAATATTCATTTTATGTCATTCATTCATTCATTCATTTTCTAGTATCAATTAGAACGATTAAAAACAATGTGTGAAGAAGCTTTGGTGGAAAGTCTTTCAGTAGAGAATGCATGTGATATATTTGGACTAGCTGATATGCATAATGCAGAACAATTGAAAACGCATACATTAGAATTTATTATGCTGTAAGTTCCTCCAACCCACCTCACCTCACCCCCCTATTCAGTCAGTACATTATTGATGATTAATTGGTATATATGTGTATTATTATAAAAACAATGCAGTCATTCAACAGAGGTTTTGAGGTGATGTTTGTTATTGTAAATTTGTCTTCGATCATAGATGTCTTCGAAGCATTGTTCGTGTATCCTGGAACGACCGAGTAAGCAATGCTGTAGTTAGGAAACAAGTTCTAGGTAAGGATGGCAGATCAATAGATGAAGTGGTGAAACTTCATCAGTTGATGTGGTTGGGACATGTGTTACGTATGCCTAACCACCGAATGCCTCGTCGAGCTATGTTTTGTGGTGTAGGAGTAGGTTGAAAGAAAGGTAGGGGCGGCCAGATTAAAACATAGCAGAAATCCATGAAGTCAATGACAAGTGGATTGAGTCATGTTGGTAGATGTAGACAGCTTGGTTGGAATCCGCGAGACGAACGTCACTGATGGTTAGAGACCTTGAATGACATGGCTCAAAATCGTTCATCCACTCTTTGTGTCCTCTGTTATAATGACGCTAAGTGGCTATTCAAATCCTACCGATGTCCGAATTCAAATATTCCTAAACGACCCCAGATACTATTTCCAAATCTCCAATATAGATCAGAACACAACACCGTTAGATGAAGTTGTTTAATGGGTCGAGTACATTAGAGATAAAGGAAGGAAGGAATGAAATGAAAAGCTTTACAGATAATGAGTATTCATACATTTAAGTCGAATAAGAAACAACATGGAAGTCTATTGCATTGACAGTTTAGGACGACGAATAGGAAAGAACATTTGAAATGACATTGACATTGACAGTCCGGATGACCAATAAGAGACAACATTGAAGTATATAACGATGGTTAGGACGACCATAATATCGACCAACAGAATTAAACTTCCAAAAATAGTTTTCTTAGGATATTTGATGAATATCGTAACATCCTCCCAAATCTTAATCTTCTGGATTCGTCAAAACCTTTGCCTTTCTTTCTAAACTTATCTCACTGAATTATACTTCTTGAATAATATCTTCAAATCCTAATCTTTTCCATTACCAGTAATACTTCTACACTATCTTTGCCACACTAAGATTTGAATTGACAATTGCGTCTCTGTGCTGATGTTGAATGGAAACCTGGACTGATGTACTCATGTACGAAGTTCTACATTGTAACTGACTGAAATAGATTGATGTAAAATGGCAACACTATCGGCCAATAAACGTCCATTCATTACATATCATAATGATACATGGGAGATTTCAAAATGTTATCATAATTTTTAGATTGTATATTCTATTGTTGTCACATACGATAATATTTGAAAAACAATAGATTTACAATAAATTTACTACTTAAGATGTCAATTGATTTCCTCACAATCAGTCAGTCAGCAGCAACGTAGAACTTTGTACGTATGTACGTACGTTAGTTCAAGTTGCCAAATCACGATAGCAGAGAGGTGCAATTCTCAGTTCAAATCCCATTGTGGTTGAGTTCGTGGTAATCGGAACGATTAGGGTTTGAAGATGTTATTGAAGAAGTATGCGAAGTCTTACTGCTGACTGTAAAGGGGTGTGACAGCAGTAAGATGTTTCTCACGGACAATCAGCATCTGCAGCAATGCTGCCTTCTCACAAGGAACGAAGGGTTTAGAAAAGGTCGACCCTAAAAATGTCTCATCTCCTCACCTTATCCTATGGATTTCCGTCTCCGGCGGTAAGGCGTTTTAAACAAGAGCCGAGCTAACAGTTCACAAACTTCCCATTAAAATGGTCGTGCACAACCGGCCTAAAGCAGTTGTCCTTTGGGTTCTGCGGTCACGCTCCCAGGTCCCTAAGAGCAACACTGACTCGATTTCTTTTTCAGATTCCTCAAGAAACACCGTTCCACGGTGTGGATGACAGGAAAAGTAATATCCTCCCCCATACACGAGACCAAAATAGTCACAAATTGATTTTGTCTCCTTTAATGGAACTAATGTACTTCACTATGAACAATTACTTCGATCAGCTGCGCTATAGATTTATTTCCTGCTATTCAGTTTCAGTGAGCATAAAAAAACGATTGATTAGTGACATTCGGAATACACACTTATTGTGCGTATGAATTACAGTAATAGTGGTTCATTCATTTTTGAAGAATATCTCCGGTTTGATTTACTCCATGGCTGCTGCTTTATAATGGTCGATGTGGGGAATGACAACCTATATGTGTACGCTACTACTACTACTGATTGTTAGTGGAATTAAAGCATGACTGCGTTAGCCGCGCGCTGATTGTCTAATTTCCTAATCCAATCAGCGCCTGATCGATTCTTGGAGAACAGGGTAGAAAATGCTCGTATTGTTAGCTGCATGCTGATTGGCTAAATCTAATCCAGTCGATCACGTGAATTACTATCCAGAAGTTCTCATGAAAATAATATAAAGAAACTAACGTTGTATCTATTTTGCTTTCGCCTTCGGCTACTTATTTCCATCTAACCTTGCTGTTTGGAATATAACCTTTTCCTGTTCAACCGTGTTCTTGATTTTTTGGGGCACAGTTTTTGGAGGTTTGCGTTTTTACACATTTGAAATCATCAATCAATCATTGTTAGACCACCATTAGAAACCTGAAAGCAGTGGATGGCCGTTTCGTCCTGGTATGGGACTCATCAGCTGTGCGCATCCACGACTCCTGCTCCTCGCAGGATTCGAACCCGGGACCTTCGGCATTGTAGGTGAACGCCTACCGAGTTAGACATTAACACCGTTGGATGTCGGCCCAGTGTGTCCAATGGTTAGGCATTCGCGCACAATACCGAAGACCCCAGTTTCGAATCCTGCGAGGAGCAGGAGTCGTGGATGCTCACTGCTGATGAGTAGTCCCATACTAGGACGAAACGGCCGTCCAGTGCTTCCAGCTCTCTTCTAATGGTGTGGTCTAACAATGATTGATTGATGATTTCAAATGTGTTCTTGATTGTTTGGAACTTGTCCAGTGTATTGTGTGGTCAGAGAATACTAAGCAATAGGAATTAGCTGGGAATTATATAAGCGATGCGTTACAACATTGACCTGAACATGTCGTTTTTTATTTCTCAAAAAATTAGTAAAATGTCTTTGCTTTTGCTTTTATTTTTTTTCTCTAGCCATGCACATGATGTCTGTGAGACTGAAGGCTATGAACAATTAGTTCGACATCGTCCACGTCTATTGAATGAATGTTTTCGAAGTTTAGCATCACAACAACTTCCTCTTCGATGTTGGGCACGTAAACGTCCAAGGCAATCATAATACCTTGTTCTATGTTGTTGTGATTGTTGTTATTGCTGTTGCTGTTGTTATTCCATGTGTATCTAAAATTGCCCCCCCCCACTCCCCCCACCCCAGCACACACCTCAATGTCTTTATAATTTTCCTTTTTTAATTTTCTTTCCGATCTCTTTCCTCCTCTGCTCATAAATTTTTCTTTATTTATCTTGAGAAAAAAGCAAACAATAGGCACCTTGAATTATTTTCTTTTCAGTATCTTTTCTCTCTCTCTGTGTCTTTTTCGATATCATATAAAATTTATTATATAACTGAAGCATTTTTTTAAAAAAAATTTTATTCTTACCTAAAATTTAGAATTAATTTAGTTTGAAAAGAAAAATGATCATTCAACGGAATCAGTTTGTCTTCGGTTTTTTTCCCCCGTTGTTGTTAAGTTGTTGATTAGAGTTTATTTAATTTAAACACATACCTCTCTTTTTTTTTAACCATGCGCGCTTCCTTTGCTTCATTCATCTGTTCACATTATGCGTGTGTGCGTGCGCGTACGCCTGCGCATGCACGTGCAACTGTGTTTCCACTGTAGAATTATACAGTGTTACTACTAATTGAACAAACATGCCAGCTTTTCTCTCGCTCGCTCTCTTTCTCTCCGCTATGGTGACGGTGATTGTCTCATGCTTGCTGATCATCTTATCAGTTTATTATATATAATCCATTTTGACTTATTATTCCCGACTTTATTCTGTCCTTCTACTATATATATATACATTTGTATGAAGGTGTATGGGATTCATGCATAGTGAGTATTGCAATCGTTTTCGGGTGTGTAAAATGGTATTATTCCCCCACTGTTCATTTCTTCATTGTACGCTTGTATGTATGTATGTATGTATGTGTCTTTGGCTTTCATAAAAAAAAAATTAGTGAACTATATTTTATTATTATTATTACTATTATTATTATTATGAATATTATTAATTGTCATTATTATTACTATTATTATTATTATTATTATTATTATTACAGTAATTATTCATATTACTGTGACAATTTTTTCCTTTCTTGGATTTAGGTTTAAGAAAAAAAAATCGATGACATGTTATATATTACTTACTACAACATATTATTGGTTTTCTCTTTTTTTTGACCATGATTGATGTATATATGTTCATGAACGATTTATTGATTATTTCAGTGTTCCGACTGTAGCTGCTACCTTGATGTGAAGGTTGGGCTTGGCCTATCGTGGTGACCCAACTGAGCTCTATTGGCTTGAAACATATGTTTCTGAAGGTTCTACCATGCCAGGCAGGTCGATTGGAGAACTACGAGATTCAAAAACAGCTACTCAATGTAGGAGGGCGAGGTCGTACTGATGACTGTAGAGGAGTGTGACAGCATTAAGGTGTTTCCCTCGGACAACTAGCATTTGCAGCGATGTTGCCTTATCACAACGGAAGGAAGGGTTTAGAAAAGATCGACGCTAAAAATGTCACACCTCACCCTACCTCACGGATTTCCGTCTCCTTGGGTAAGGGTGCCCACTAAGGGCTATTAAGAGCGGAGCTAATACTCAGAAATCCTTTCATAAAAATGCCGTGTGTGACCGGCCTCAAACAGTTTTCTGTTGGGCTCTGCGGTCACGCTTCCAGGTCTCTAAAACCAACACTAATCTACCTCCCTTTTCAGGTTCCTCAAGAAACACTCTTCAACGGTTTGGGCAACCAGGAAGTGACAACCGCCCTCATACCAGTAACAGCACACGAGACCGAATTGGTCATAATCGAATCCTTCCTACACCATGACTAACTCTTCTCACAATACCTTATCTCACTGCACTGTTAATACAACTGAAGCGAGTTCACCTTGACGTAAAGGTCGGGCTTGCCTATCGTGATGACCTAACCGAGCTATATTGACTGGAACATATATTCTTGAAGGTTCTACCATGCTAGGCTCAGCTCTGAACATCCATTCTTTGTGTTCTCTCAAATTCTAACCTTTTGAATTCTTCATCATCTCTATCTTTCTCTTTCTAAATTTATCTCACTGAACTATACTTTTTAAATCATATCTTCGCTCCCTAATCTTCTCCATTATTACTAATACTTCTGTTATTGCTATCACTGTTGGATTTGAACTGACAGTTGCGTCTCTGTGGGGTGATGTGATATGGCAACCTGAACTGATGTACGTACGTATGTACGAAGTTCTGTGTTGTATCTGTCTACCTGTATCTCACATTCATATGAAGAGAAGCATTAGTCCATTGTTCTTTTTTCTGTCATATGATTCTGTGGCCTGCCTTCAACCAGAGTTCGTTGTTATATGAAATAAACTATCAAGTTGAAATGATGAATTTAGACAAGCTGTTCTGTAGACGCGACTGGCAATTTTAAAAATATGTTAGGTATTAGGACGAAACAGATCGATTGAAGTTTGACACTGACACCGTTGGATGCCGACCCAGTGGTATAGAGATTAAGCACCTGCATGCGAGGCCAATGATCGTGGGTTTGAGGTCGTGAATACGAACTCTTGAAGAGTCCCATGCTAGCGCCTAAATGTAGTACGGCTGAGATTGAGGTGAATTCATTTTTGCTCGAAGTGCTATAAAATGATCACGCGTCTGTAGTTATTGCTAGGGAAATCCGACCTACGATGTTCTTGAGGCGACAAGAAGCAAAGTCCGGCTCTTAAACCAGATTGATAGGTACCAAGGATCCATGTGAAAGAGCTGTGAAACCCTCCTTCCAAACCAATGATGTATATGCATCGGTTCATGAGATTAACTGTGAAAGTACTAGGATTGTCCTTAAACTTTTTTGAATGAATTTCGTATACTTGAATCTAGATCGTACCAGTTATTTCGGTTGTATATACAGAGTAGAATGTCTTTCTCAAAGGCACTGTAGAAAACTGATAGTTTTAAAATAATTAGGAAACTTAACAAAATTCACTTATGAATTTTATATCGGTGATTAGTTACCAAATGATTTTGTGTTGAAACTTACGTCTACCTAGTTCTATTCTGTGCTGACCAAAAGATAAAACCAACGAACATAATCGAGCTCACTACGTCAGTCAGTCAGTTACAACGAAGAACTTCGTACCTATGTACATAAGTTCATGTTGCCATACCACATTAACACAGAGACGCAAATGTCAATTCAAATCCCATAGTGATAAAGATAGTAGAAGTATTACGGGTAATGGAGAAGATTAGGATTTGAAGATATTATTCAAGAAGTATAATTCAGTTAGATAAGGTTAGAAAGACAAAGAAAGAGGTGTTGACGAACCTGGAAGATTAGGATTTGAGAGAGCACAAAGTGTGGATGCACTTACGCTATTGCAAACGATTTTGAGCCATGTCGTTAAGAGTTAACTACGACCGAAATATATTACATCGACTGCTTAAAGGTATCGATTAGAAATGGTTTGAACTTATATCTGTGTTTTTACGCTAGCACTTAGATGATATTACGAGTATCATGCCTTAACTTTTTTTGCAACTAAGATCAAAATCGGCCGGAGGAAATCTGTAAATTTTGAACTAAAGTAGACTGAGGTGCTTGGTATTTGTCTTGATAATTTTATCTCATGGCTTTAATGTGGTTGTCTAACACGGAACGCTGTGCATATTTGTCAAGTTCTACGCTGCATATAAAATAATGATTGTAATCAACCTATAATAGACAAATGATATTGAATAAACGTAGTTCATCGATGGATATCATCACAAATCGACAGAACCAAACAAATGATGTGAATGCGAGCGCACGTGAAGATATCAAGGCTTTTGAGGTCAACTGTCCATAATGACACACCTTAGAATAGACTTGTTAGTGGGACATAGATGGAATTAAAGCATGACTACGTTGCTGCGCGCTGATTGGCTAAATGCCTATCCAATCAGCGCCTGATCGAATCTTGGAAAACAGGGTAGAAGATTCTCGTGTTGTTAGCTGCATGCTGATTGGTTAAATCTAATCCAGTCGGTCACGTGAATTACTATCCAGAAGCTTTCTCATGAAAATGATATAAATAGACTAACGTTGTATCTATTTTTGCCTTCGCCATCACCTTTGGCTTCTTGTTTCCATTTAACCTTGCTATTTGGAATATAATCTTTTCCTGTTCAACCGTGTTTTTTGATTCTTTGGAACTTGTCCAGTGTATTGTGGTCAGTGAATACTAAGCAATAGGATTTACCTGGGAATTATCTAAGCAAAGCGTTACAACAAGACTACATTGCATCTTGAGATCAATGCGCTGACCTCCGCCTATTTAATGGAGGTGACTGCATCGCAATAGACTCGTCCGACTCAATGAATCTAAAACATCTTGGTTTTACAGTTTCCTTATTTGATTCGACAAGAAGAGAACACTTACTTGATCATGATGTTCAATAATTATTATCAGTCTTCATAACTGATATATTCTTTTATCAGAATTGTTAGTGGGACATAGATTGGATTAAAGCATGATTGCGTTGTTGCACGCTAATTGGCTCTTTCGTACCCACCAATCAGCGCTAGCCGATGATTGAGGGAACATTTCACTATCTTCTCATGTAAGAATACTATAAATATACTAACATCTTTTTTCCTTTGAACTTCTCTGTCTTCTATTCTAACGTTGTTGGATTATAATCTGTATTTCCTGTTCAACTGTTTCCTGATTTTAGGAGAACGTCTCGAGTGGATTGGTGTCTGAGAATATTAGGAATAGCTAGGTTGTAATAAGAGAGAATTATAACAATAATGAAGTGGCTTGTTTACCTGGATAGGTGTTTTTACCTATGGAAAGTTTAATTATTCAATAAATTGATGATGAATGTTGTTGCAAGATATTATGTCCAATCAATTCGTCTTATTTGGTTAGCTTTTTATCACATGCGTCTAGAATAATAGCACAGTGGTAAGGTCTTTCAGTATGAATCTGTGTTACACGGTATCGAATTCCCCTAGGGATAATTAGTCTCCTCAGCTATACCTTACTGACAAGTGCCAAATAGC